ACTTTTGAAATAGACTTTTCCTGTAAATATGAACACGTTTATATGGTCTCGGGGAACAGACCATTTCCGGCAGAAATCTGAGCGCATATGTTTTCGAAGTGCCTCCAAAGCTCGCACTCGACTACTTAACAGTATATATGCTCACAGGCGAAGCAATCGTGTTGCCATTAGCATGGTTGTAAAGCAATTCGGCGATATTCTGTTTTGCTAACGTCTCCCGGAATATGGGTGTCATTACACTCCACGAGCTGCTTGTTTTTGGTATGGAGCCCTGCTTGTTGAATGCCCTAAATTTAATGGCGACAGCTGCTGGAGTTCTGCCATCCTGGGAAACATTTGCTGCGCAAAATCCTGATCGTTTTTACCGGCGGGACTAAAACGAAAGATGTTGTTCACACAACTGTAGGAATTCTCTTTCATGTATATACTCGTCTACAGCAGGAACGCGTCAATTGAATAACGTGCACACTGCTTGCAAATCACGTGGAACGTGAAACATTGGCAAGCGATTTTGCTCAAATATATCCGTGTAGTTATTATCTACTGTATATTCATCCCACAAGGAAAACGGGGTTATGCCGGCACCATTATGAGGCGAAACAATTTTTCTGAAGTACGGTATATACTCCTCTTACGTAGCTTTAAAAGCATGGATTGTTCGCCTGTGTCGCGACCAACCACTAAAATATTACATTTCTCATTTTTATATATCACCTCAGTCTGAATGAAGTTTCTTTCTTGGATGATGGATGAGAAGCATTGTTCGGCAAAAATGGAACGTTCCACGAGCGAATAGTTCTCGGATATACAGTACCCTAGTTCTCATCTTCAGATACAAACCTTATACTTTAATGACGTATAGTTACCGTCATAAAATCAAATCCAAATAGGAAAACATTCTCTGGAATAAGATGTTTTGCTTCTCAGACTAGAAGAGAATCACTTATTTTATCACCAGCAGTGACACTACTATGCTCGAACTCGATTCCGATCACTATATAGCTTCACAGTATTTCTCTGTTATATTTTCGTGAACAATACTTGTTTTCCTTCAAGCTGTGCAATTTAAAATGTTCTTCCAAGAACTTTGGTTGGACCACTCGTGCAGCGAATGCTGTTCATTCATTGATATAGATCCGGAAACCCAGCAGTTCTCAGAACTCATTCGATCCCATGTGGTTGTGAAAGGCTCAAATGCTGCACAAACAGGAATGCAACACTTACATATGTGAGTTCAAAGGTGCTGGTTTGTAATAGCTGCCTGTCAGCATCATACCTGGAACATTTAGTCTGGAGTGCTGCAGACTTTCTGGATAACACATTTCATTTGAATGGAGCTTACACGAGGGCATAGCAGCAGGACACACAGAGTCCTCACTGATATACAGTATATGGTGCCCTTCCTGGAAGAGTTGATACCGGAGAGCTCCGCATGACGTCACGTACGAGATCACTATAACTTGTAACAGTACGGGAAAATTGAAGCTTATACCGAGTATACAGTGACTGGAACGTAGAAAATTGAGCATGAGCAAAAAAAACGTGATAAAGCAGCAGAGAATCAGTTGTCATTTTGACATGGATTATGAGGAACGGCTGAATCTGATTATCAAAGGTGTCAGTATTTGTACAATAAAGTGAGGCTACGCACATTGTAGAAAGAAGAAAATAACTAGATCGAAAATTGCTGAGGAACCCTTCTGTTTGACGCACTACTGATAGATTACACTGCTCATATGCAGTTCGTGGAGTGTGCAACACATTGACCACGTCAGTCAGCACACGGCTGATGACGTCACGATCAACTGAGAACAAAAGCCGCAACACGAGTCAGTTCAAATTCCGTGTGCAACGGTTCCACTGTGATTCGCCACACGTACTGCCACATCTGCTCATTCGCGTGAACATTGCGCTCGAATCGATTGATTTTCGGAATAGATCACGATTTCGCTCGGCGGCATCAGCACACTGCATCTTTTCGGGGCACGATTCCGATGTGCCGGTCTGTGCATGTACATATGCGTGTACATTTGTTCATTCAAGATTTCCTGCATGCAAGCCCTGGGTTTGAAACATGGAATAGAATGAGGGGAGGCTGGATTGCGCGCGTGTCACCCACCTCAGCATTCGCAGTAACTTGCTTGCTTTGCCACCGGAGTGTGAATACTAGCTGGTATGGTTCCTCGTACAGTTGTTGTGTCTTGTTTTGCCGGTTCGTGGTGCTGTAGTACTGTACAGAACCGGCGCGATAGTCATGGTGAACGAACGTGGCCTTTGTCGTCAGTTCGAAACGTCCATGGTAAATATACGTTTCCTATCGGGTGCAGTCCTTCCCGGGTTCTGAGGAAGGTATCCTGCTCCTGGGCCATGGCGATGTGTGCAGTTTTTATCAGGCGTTCCCCAATCGAATTAACTTATTTCTTGGCTAGCTTGTGTGTCATGCTCATACAGAACTGAAGCAAGATTTCCCTTCTTTAGATCGCGTGGAGCATACATATGCAGTTGGTGGAGATACTAGCTGACTTTATCTGTGTTTTGAACGTAACGTGATAAGATCTACTCTCCGTCAAGCTTTTCTTTTCCCTGTACAGTATATGGACAAGTTTCATCCCGGCGCAGGCAGGTTTTTGGCAAGAAGGGATAATTGTATGAGGATTCAAAGACAAGCTCTTGCGTTAATTACTCGTTCTCTTGCTGAAGCGTAATATGCACACGGGTGAGAATGATGAAGTGATGCTGCTTACTCTGAAGGATAGTGCGTAATTCGCCGTTTACTTTGAATCATTTACGGTGAGACATTATTGTGAGGTTCCTAGCTGTGGACTGTGCGGTATTATTGATGACTGATGAGCGAACTCCTCTGCTGCATGCTTTTTTAATTAATGTACAAGTGCAGCTGTTTTTTGCCCACTTCATACGCGATGGAAGGTCCGGGCTTTTTTTTAACTTGCTGGATACCCTTGATCTGTCTTTCCTTATTCTTGTTTTTCAACGTCGCGGAAGGTCATAATCCCCATGTGAGTCGTTTTGCGGTCATCACCTGAACGCTGTCGAACCGAATGTGGTTTTTGATTGTTGCTCCTGAACTTCGTGAAGAATCATGAGACATCCAGCGAAAAGACCTGAGCCCGAGTTAACCCATCGGCCGATTGAATCTCAAGGTGAGAGCCCGAGTTCTTCTTATTCATATTTGTCAGATGAATATATATAGTCTTCGTTTTGCTCGAAGTGCGGTTCAAATTTCGTTCGAGTTCGACAGTGCGGTATTGCTACCGAATAATCCTCGTGACTTGTCAACAAATTCGAAACTCTGATTCTCATGCTTCAACACGTTCAAGTATTGTATGTTTAATGTTGTGGTGTATTACGTGAACCCTCAGAGTCGCCGTCTTCTGGTATTAATGGAGGAAGAGAAACGCATGAAGCCACTCCGTTGTTGCAACCATCAAGGACGTCATCAGCCTCTCCATCGTCTTCTCATCAAGAGGGAACAGGTTGGATGACAAATTCTTGTGGGCGTTGTGATGCGTGGTGCGCGAATGCGAAAGTCAAGGCGTACATGAGCATGTACGGGGTTGCTTCTTTATTGGGATTGTTCGGCTACTGGGTGTACCTGACTATTGCCTACAGACATCCGTATCGCCAAATGCGATACACCATGGCAGCTCTGGTGACCAACTGCGTGTTGTATGGCGCAGCAGCTGGTGTTGTTCGTTTCCGACGCCGACGTCTGCGAATGGTCCCCTCAATGCTCGCGGTTTGACGAGTATACATGTACGTGTCCTGCCCCTTTTGTGCAAATGCTGTAATTATCCAATCGTTGTTCTGTCCTGTTTTTTCGATTCAGATTCTTTGCGACGTCAAAGATTGAAAATGTTATTCGATATCGTGTTGGTTATTTCTGTGTCGTGTCAATAAGTCAGAAACCTGCTGTGCACATCAGAAGAGTCTTATCGATAACGAAGATTGAGAACAAATGTTCACGTGTATTATACATTATTGAACCGTTATTGATGAATCGAACCTACTGAAGTCGAGTAAGCTCTTCATAACGAATTTTTTCCAAGTCCGCGTCTGGAATCCCTTGAAAACAATGCATGAAGAAGCTCCTCGAATACATTGAACGCTCTCTTTTAAAACGTGCTTAACCCAAATTTTCTGGACGAAGCGTTTTGGCAAATATTTTATTGGCATAGGGAAGAGAGAAGCAAATAAAAATGTAACTTGATGAGTTTTGAGTGGAAGTGAGAGACTTGTTGGGCTAATAAACCCTTGCCTCTAAGTTTAACATCCTGTCATCTTTTTTGAAGAAGAATTCAAGGCATAGAACTGCAGATTATGAATTAAAATTTCTTGCGAATATTTCTTCCTTTCCCCTTCCGAATATTTCTTCCTTTCCCCTTCCGAAAATACTTCTTCTCCTAACTCGGATTATTAATCTTTTTTGCATGCGCTGTATGTTGAAGTACAACTCACTGAAGAGGTTCGACTGCTGTGGTGAGAGTTAATAGTCGGTGGTCGATCTGAAGGAATGCGGGTTACAGTAGAAGGAGATGAACAATGAAAGGGTGTGAAAGATGTGCATGGAACAGCTAATTATCAAATCTCAACGTACATGAAGAAGCATGCAAGGTAGCTGAATCAGGACGAACGAAATCACTTGTTCTATATTTAGACGTCTGAAAGGAAGGAGATTCTCCTTCCTTGACGTAGAAGGAATAAGTCTCGAAGTTAGTGAGATCAAAATGGAAGAAGAACGCGATGCGGATCAGGGTTGGATGTGCATGAAGTGGTACCCGGTAAACCACGCAGGTTGAAAACGACGCAAGAATAAGGGCTTAAGCCTTCGAAATCCTCTCTGGCGCCCTTCTGAGGTTGGGGTCTACCGCCAGTCTTGCCAACAATATTTCAATAAACATCCGCGCTCCAAGTGCCTCAAAAATCCCGGGAATTTTTTGAAGCTTTCTCTGGGTGCTCCTAAACAGGTGAAAAAATCTGTACCTGAAAATTTGTAATTCCCTACCCCTCTGCTTGTTCAAAGCAATTATATTGGGTGGTCTCAGTATTTCTTTTTTACAACTGGAGGATATTTTCCACAGTTTCATATACAATATTTACGTTACAACATGTGTATTTTCCTCCTGAGCTCTCAGTATCAATTGCATTTTGGCTTACTTTAATGTGTTTTTCATGATCATATAATTATTTTCATGTCCTATTGAAATACTTTTCAATTATATCCTAATGTTTTACTTTTACTGATAACTCTGTGTACTTGGAAGTTGTCCTACTTTAGTGCAGCATCAGCTATGATCTAGCCCTGGATGTTGGAAAATACAGGGATTTTTTGGGGTAAATGGTTTCAATTAATTCACTGCTTCAGGATAATTAAATATATTTTGTGTGAAATGAGTTCTTCACCCATATAACAGTGGGCTGAAATTTGTCAAGTCAGCCATGACATTTTAAAGTTTTAAACATAATCTTGTTTAAATCTTGCAATTTTCAAAAAATTTTGGCTGATGACTGTTTAAATTGAAACATATGAAAAAAGGAAGAATTTTCTGCTGCATTCCCAAAAGGGTACCTTTCAACTTTTCAAATTTTTCCTGCTTTTCTTCTGCCTAGCAGGGTAAGGGTAATCTGCTCAAGTCCCATAACATCTTGGCCTTGATGGTCACTTGATTTTCCACCAAGTTGCAGATTCCCTGCCTGTTCCCACAGGGAGGGTATGTTTTTCTTTCCTGAAAAAATGTGATTTACCTAATCATATTAACTGATCACCATATTTGCTCCATCACCATGCACCATGAAGTAAGACAGCATCCCAGTTCATTAGATATATTTTTAAAAACCTATCCTCCAGTATGTCATGTGCCTCTTTTTTAGTGATTCTAAAGAATCTAAACCATAAAATTGCTAAAATAAGTTTATCAAACTTAGAAATCAGACATGAATTTACTGATTTTAATTTTCTTCCATTAAAATAATATTTGTTTTACTTGGTGAAACAATTTCAATTAAAAGGAGTTCTACTGAACAAATTCACAAAAAGTTGTGCATAATTTTTCATCTATGCATGCTTTTGAAGCACACTTCCTTTTTTCCTCTCAAATTTGATGAAATAGGTGTACATGGTACTTGAGTGAATACATTAATATATGTCCTACATTAGTGAATTAATTTTTTCCCCTTATTACAAATGTCAAGAGCATCTAACATTTTTCAAAAAATGTCAATGACTTTTTGAAGTGAGTAATGCAAGATTTAGAGCTGCAGCACTTATTTTTCCTGGAATGAAAAACTCTCATAACATCATATGGAGATGGTCAGGAAGGCATGGCAAACTGTAAAAAAAATCAGGACAATCCTCCCAATGTACAGGGAGAGATACTATACTGGGACTTGAGCAGATGTCCAATTATTTTGCAAGGGACAAGAAAAACTGAGTAAATTAAAATTGAAAATGAACCCTTACTAATGAAGCAGAGCAAAACATTTAATTTTTTTTCTAAGCAGAATGATCATTGAAAAATGTGAAAATTACAAACTATGCTGAAAAAAATTTCTGAAAGAAAATATTTTAGCTGGTTTGACAAATTGTTAGCACCCTGCTACTCTATATTTGCAGAGAATTCCGGCTGCAATTGAAAAAATTTCCCGTGTCAATGAGGAGCAAATTGCATTTTTTAATGAACAAGCAGAGAACCACGCAATATTGTGGGATACAAGGTGTACCAAATTAAGGAAAGGCAGAATGCAATAATTTTAATTAGCAAAGTTCATGCTGTCTTGGAGAGCCTTCACATGTTCAAAAATTCAGAATAGGGGTGAAGGGGGAAAATTGATGAGTAGGATGCTGAAGGGCTCCCATGGTGCACAAGTGCTGCTTGGTTCCTGGCCTCATGGCTCCTGATGACCCACTTGCATGCACATTTTTTTCTGATTTCTTCAGTTTAATTCAGTTTATTTCAAAATAATTTCCACTTGAATTAATTTCAGCAATATCTAGTCATGTCATTCAGAGAAAAACGTGTATGCAATGGGTCATTGAGAGCCAAGGCCAGCACCAAGCAGCCCTTGTGCACCACGGGAGCCCTGTAGCATCCTACTTGTCTCTTTTTCCCCTTTCTCGCCCTTTCCTTCTGAATTTAGGAAAATGTGAAGACTTTTCCAGACAGCATGAACTTTGCTAGTTGAAATTATTGCATCCTGCTTTTCCTTAATTGAAAGCAATGTTCCCTTCTTTGATATTCTGTAATAAATACATCAGAAGCAAGAGTAGAGTTCCTTCTGGTGAATTCAGCCAGGAAGTAGAAGTTTGGTAACTCTGGGGGTAGCTGGCCCCCATTGTTAAAAAAAAAGGGGTGGTCAACATTCCCGGACAGCTTAAGCCCGCTTAAACCTCTTGCGTTGTTTTCTCCTGGTCGATCTTTGGTATGCCCATGAAGTATATGCTTTTCTGCATACAGTACAGAACTTCTGTAGCTTTGAAGACCCCTGTGCAAGCTCCAATTTCCCATCCACATTCCATTCGAGAAATCGCTTGGGGGGATTGAATCCGTCATGATGGGAAATCGAGTTTCTATTAGCTATGGGGCGACCTCTAGACAGTCTGGAGTACACCATTGTAAGAGACTGAGAAAGCTGTGAATTCTGCGCTTATTTTCTCTGGTACTTCATGAAAATGACTGCTGAATTGCTGATATCAGCAAAAACCCCAAATTGTATGTGTGTGTCTGAACTGCTGGTGGGCTTGCACTCAGATTTTGTTTGTGATTTTATCAATTATGTTTCAGTGGAAATAATAGCATCATTTAGCTGAAAGTACTGTAATTTCACTTCTTTGCAATGTACTTTGAAAGTGATTGGCAATGACCTTGTGTCTCGCTGTGGAGAGCTGAGATTCACTTCCTTCTTCATTTTTTCACTTACTGTTTTTACTCAAGTACCAATAGCATATTTTTTTCCTTAAAATATGACAGGAACAAATCGGTCAACATTTTTTTATGTTTTGGAAATTTATTCGTGCATTATACTTGATTGAAGTGGGAGATTCTGGACCAATTTTTTTAAAAGAACACCTTTTGATGGAAAAAAGTGAACATTGGTTGACTTTATGTTCAATGCATGTTTAATGTCAAGGTTGTGTGTTCTAATTTCCAATTCAGTACTGTATATAGCAGTTTTAGAGTGACTAAAACTTGGGTGCGCATTTTGGTTGGGGTTATAAATTCATAGCAATCTAAGTGGAAAATCCCAGTGTATGCATCTTACTTGAGAGAAGGTATTCAAGCATTTATGACAGTCGTGCTCAACTTATTGGAAGTGACCATGGGCCACACTGGAAAAGTGGCGAATTCTGCAGGCCAGCAAAATGGAGAGAACCCTGTAATTATTAAATAAAATAAGCAACTGACTCATTTGCACTGAAAATTCGGCATTCGTTGATGCCTTCAGGAAATTTGCCTATCCAGTTGTCATTAGGAGAAGATTGGTGTACAGTTTTTATATTGCCAATCTTATGATACAATATCGAGTTATTGGTTACACTGGATTTATTTTGTAGGAAACTGCCCAGTAGCTTTTTCGTTACAGTATTTTAATTTACTCGAACATTTTTCACATTGCTGTTTTTTTTTACTGTACCACATGAGTTTCTTGTACCAATATTTTACTGTAAGTGACTTTCCTGGTCCAATCACATGAATTATTTTGAAGACTAAAACGAGACAAGTAACTTAGCACTGAAACAAGAGAAAAAAAGCCAGAGAATCTTCTTCAAAACTAAGTTATGGAATCATTTATGGAACATATCCTCTCCTTCATATCTGTGATTTTTAGAAACCATATCCTTTCCATAATTTTTGAACACTTTCTGTAGCACAGGCACATACAACTGCTTCAGCTAAAAAATAGTTTCCAAAATGAAAATCTGAATAGTCTGTTTTGTTTTGACTGCAACTGGATCCATTTCTTGAAAAATACAGAATGCTTCCATTTCAAAAATTCCATCAGAGAAAATCAGGCATAAATGCAAACATAAAGTTGATGAGCAGAAATCGTGCATGAAAAATGTTTGCTGATGATGCACAGAATGATTTCAAATAGCCCAGAAATGTACTTATACTGTGAATGATGTTTCTTGTAAAATTTAAAGAAGGGGCCAATGCAAAGAAGCATTAATTCAATCTATGAACACATGGGATGTTCTTGACACTTTTGGGTTGGTCAAAACCAGGATTTGTACTACAATAAATCCAAGGATTTGAGGGTTTTTCATGAAGCTTTTGTTACTTGCAGATCCATTTAAACTCACATTTTTATTTTTAAATAATGGCTTGCCTCTGTTCATGCCATTTTAAAAATTAAGTTACTATGTCCAATAGTAAAGGTAATTCAGAAAACTGTGATATACATTCACCGTTGTTTATGAGTTGAAGCCAGGAAGAATCAACAATTGGGAAACAAATTTTCGAATCTATGCGAATGAGAAATATGAATTCGGCTTCTTGATAGGACGCAGCTGTTCAGGGTTTTGCTCGCAAAACGCGGCACTTATAATTAAACTGTACTGTAGGTATTTTACAGTATTCCTATACTGAACATTATACCATGCTGGGTGAAAAAGTGTATAGATTCCTAGACTCACGGGAATGATGGATACATGCGTGATTAGTTCAAGTGGTTCAGGTCACTGCGCATGTCTTGGTCTGTATGAAACAGCTGAGCTGATGGTGTATAGAAACCGCGGTGTGTGCCTTTCATTGCTTTCCATTGATTTCTTCCCTTCACCCATCCTGGTTCTTTTTCAAGGACGAATTGAACGCATTTCACTGTGCCATATTCGAGATGGTATTGGTGTTATAGTGATAATTGCACATAAGTGATGAACGCGACCAGATGTAAATTGTGTCTGAGCAGCCTGAAAAAAAAACCGAAAGAATGCATCTCATGTTGGAAATTGTGGTGGTACTAATATTCATATTGAAGTATTGTATTCATAGCGCTTTTGCGGTTTATTTAATGAAGTGGTCTTTGTCAGATATTTTTGTACTTGGTGGACCAGGAAAGACAAATTTTCTTTTACTTGAAATAGCTTGGCAGCAAATTAAGGTGTGGCAATGAAGAAAGCACAAAAATGAAAGCTTGTTTTGAGTATTCATGCCTGAAAGTATTTTGGAGCAATCCAGTCACCCAGAAGAAATTTGCATTTATTCAGGGGGTCACAGGAGCCAAGCCATGAATTTTACAGTATTCCTATACTGAACATTATACCATGCTGGGTGAAAAAGTGTATAGATTCCTAGACTCACGGGAATGATGGATACATGCGTGATTAGTTCAAGTGGTTCAGGTCACTGCGCATGTCTCGGTCTATATATGAAACAGCTGAGCTGATGGTGTAGAAACCGCGGTGTGTGCCTTTCATTGCTTTCCATTGATTTCTTCCCTTCACCCATCCTGGTTCTTTTTCAAGGACCAATTGAACGCATTTCACTGTGCCATATTCGAGATGGTATTGGTGTTATAGTGATAATTGCACACAAGTGATGAACACTACCAGATGTAAATTGTGTCTGAGCAGCCTGAAAAAAAAAACCGAGAGAATACATCTCATGTTGGAAATTGTGATGGTACTAATATTCATATTCAAGTATTGTATTCATTGCGCTTTTGCGGTTTATTTAATGAAGTGGTCTTTGTCAGATATTTTTGTACTTGGTGGACCAGGAAAGACAAATTTTCTTTTACTTGAAATAGCTTGGCAGCAAATTAAGGTGTGGCAATGAAGAAAGCACAAAAATGAAAGCTTGTTTTGAGTATTCATGCCTGAAAGTATTTTGGAGCAATCCAGTCACCCAGAAGAAATTTGCATTTATTCAGGGGGTCACAGGAGCCAAGCCATGAGGCTGGCATGTGGCAAGCTTGCATCCAGAGTTTGGGGTTGAGCAACATCCTACTGCTGATTTTGATTTTTTGCACTTCTCACCCCCCACCCCTAACCTCTTTTAAAGTCAGCATTAAGTTTTTGGGTGCATTACTGGTCCTGCACCCTACTTATATCACATAAAAGTTCTGGAGAACAGGACCTTAGTGGAAGGAATTGCCTGGCAATTTTTTTTGGAAAGTTTCCATTCCAATTGTCCTCTTGACTAAGCCATAGCTTTTTTTTGGACTGCAAAACTATGTAAGACATGGAAGGGAATTGAACAAGCTTTCACTTTGTTTTATTTTCATTGGTGTATCTTTATTTGCTAACAAGATATTTTGAGTTTCAAAAATCAGTTCCATGTTGTTCTCCAACCTGTATGTACAGGTGGTTCTTGATCATTGTGCTGTACATTCTCAACCATATCTTTATTTGCTAACAAGATATTTTGAGTTTCAAAAATCAGTTCCATGTTGTTCTCCAACCTGTATATACAGGTGGTTCTTGATCATTGTGTTGTACATTCTCAACCACATGCATCATCATCATGATGGACATGACCTTTGCAATGATCAAGCCTGATGCCATAGAGTCTGCAAGTGATATCAAGGAACTCATCCGTCAGCAGAACTTTCTCATTGTTCAGGTCAGTTGCAGTATTTAGAAGATGAACTGCATGTTCTGAAACTTTCATTAAAATTGACGTTGATGTTCGAATCTTAGGTTGAAATGAAGTATTATTCTGTATACCTGTATTGTGCCTGGATCTTTGCATTACGTCAGAAACTTGGTGCACAATTCACCTGCGACACTTTCATGATGCTGAAGGAAATGTGATAATCATCAGTCCCCTTTGAATCGAATTTGATTAGATGATGACTGGAAACTTTGTACAACATATTAAAGTTTCACTGATGGATTTTTTTGTGAATAATAGGAGGAATTTAATTTAAAGATGATTTCATTGATCCATTGCATTATCCCCTGTAAGAATGCACAGTTGGACCTTGATAACTCATACCTTTCCCAAGTCAAAAACCTCCGAAACCTCCCTATTTTAAACTTTTCTTCAGTTTCTGTCTTAACTCGGTCACAAACATTTTGATGCAACCTTAAAAACTCGGAAGACTTTTCCGTGATGAATGTATAACTCGAATTTTTGCGGACTTTTTGACTATTCTGCTCAGGTGAACTATGAAGAAAAAGAGTAATCAACTCACATCATTGATGTGAGTTGTTGCATTTCAGAAGGATGTGATTGATGAATTGGGAGAAGTTTATGCTGTCCTCCAAGTTCAACATCCTGCAAACTCATTTATCCTGCAGTTTCAGTCCCATGCAGAATATCACCAATATTATTTTTTCTGTAATCTTCAAGTTTTCCTCTGGAAAAACTGGTTGAGCCAACTTTTTATGCTGAGTCCTTTGAGTTTGATACACAATTGTTAGACTTTACTGCATTGTAGTATTTGTAGCACAGGGTATCCAGAACATGAAGAATATACTCATGAACTTTTCAGATTCTTGAATTGAATTGCTGCCAACAGTCAAAAATCGGTTCACTCTTTTTTTGTTGGTCAAATGTGTATATATGCCATCTTCCTTGATTTGCTCCTTCTTTCTTCAACATGTGCATGCTACAAAAAACTATTGCATGACCGCAGGAGAAACAAAAGCAGCTGACGGATGCAGAAGCCCGGGAATTCCACACGGAACACAGTGGAAAACCATTCATGGAGGAGCTGGTGGCGTATGTGACCAGTGGTCCAGTGGTGGCCATGGCCCTGCTCCTGCCGACGCCCATCAGCAGCAGCACCATCACTCCTGATCCTGACGAGGACAACAACAAGGACCAGCAGCAGCAGCAACAACAGGCCAATGACCATCAGATGAGCCAGGCTGTGCGTCTCTGGCGGACCATGTTGGGTCCCACGGATGTGGCCCGAGCCAGAGACGAGCACCCTGACTCCATCCGGGCCAATTGCATGACCGCAGGAGAAACAAAAGCAGCTGACGGATGCAGAAGCCCGGGAGTTCTACGCGGAACACAGTGGAAAACCATTCATGGAGGAGCTGGTGGCGTATGTGACCAGTGGTCCAGTGGTGGCTTTGGCCCTGCTCCTGCCGACGCCCATCAGCAGCACCATCACTCCTGATCCTGACGAGGACAACAACAAGGACCAGCAGCAGCAGCAGCAGCAACAACAGGCCAATGACCATCAGATGAGCCAGGCTGTGCGACTCTGGCGGACCATGTTGGGTCCCACGGATGTGGCCCGAGCCAGAGACGAGCACCCTGACTCCATCCGGGCCATCTTTGGCACAGGGCCCGGGAAGAACGCGGCCCACGGCAGCGACTCTCCAGAGAGTGCACGTCGCGAGCTTGGATTCTTCTTCCCGGAACGTAAGAGCAATATTGCCTATACAGTACTATATGCAGTGATCCTGAATTTGTTTATTTAGCTTTAGGTTGCGAGCAGTATTCTGACTATACGAACGAATAAAGTATTACCTTACCCTGTTGGTGCGTACATATCATATCCCTATCAATATACAGCAGTACTGTGAAGCCTTTTCAGAATAAAGGCTTCAATATAAAGTGCCAGGACAGGATTTCCCCTTATTGGTGAAATTTTGGAATTGGAGGAACAAGCTCTTCTCTTGTTGGGGATTAAAAAAAGAATAGAGACTTGGACAACTTGGAAATGGTATAATGGGTGATGTTCCATATTAGGCCTTTGAATGCTTTTCAAATGAGTTGAGAGGATGCTAAACTAGGAGGCAAGGGTTCATTTGCCAAATTAGTCTTCCACTTACAGTACTTCTTTCAAAACGCATCAATTTACATTTTGTGTTGATTTTCTTTTTTCTGTGTCCTTGAAATGATAGCCGAAAGGACATCAGAGAATTTGAGTTATCTAGGTTTGGGGGAAAAGACTTGGCATTATAGGGAGGCTTTTGTGCAAATTTTATCTCAGTGGAGATGAGAAATGTACAGTACTTATTCAGAAGTTTCTACGGATGGATTTGTGAAATGCTTCAAAATTTTTACACGTTGGAAGGATTTATCCAAGAAATGATGTTTTCCAGATGAAAATATTTTAAACAGAGGCAGAGTATTCAATGTATGGAGGTTTGAGTTATTGACTTTCAGGTGCTTTTGCTTGTTCCCTCTTTGTTCAACAGTGAATATGGAGGATTTCCTGAATGCTGCCTGCCCAGACAATGACGTTATGACCAAGGAATTTTCTGACATTCTGTCGGAGGGTCTTCAGGAAGCTGCCAGGGAAAAGCCTGAGAACCCAATAGTCTGGCTCGCCAAATGGCTTGGGAACAGGGCTCCAACCTCTTGAAGCCCAGAGGCAATATTATGAAAAACCAGTGGAACGTCTCCCTTGGAAACACCTGAAGGACAAATTAGCAAGCATTTTTACCAGCATAACTACCCAAAGAAATGCCAGTGAACTCCAATTGGAAGATTTCAGCACAAGGAGAAATAAAATTTGGCTGTTTCCCAGATGTTTACATGCAAAATGACGACAAGAGTTGCAATCCAATTCTGTTCTAGTTGAGAAATGAAGACACTGCAGGAAATTCCTCTATAGATGGAGTGCCTCTGTTATCAAAAAAAAATATTCCAAGCAATTGTTTTTCAACCATGTTCAGTGTCTGAATGAATTGGAAAAGAAAACCAGCAGGTAGTATGAAGATTGGTCCCAAGTTTTTTTTCTTGGGGGTCCAATCAGGCAGCCCTTTATTCCCCTTTGTCGTACCTTTGGTGGGCCACCCAGAAAATCCATGATCAACCAGCAACCAGCCTTTTGGGATTTTTAAACAGGTTGCAGTTTTCCATTATTTTGGTGCCAAGGAAATTTTTGAGACTTAACATTTTTTAAATAGTTTTTCCTCTAAAAAACAGAATGATGCCAAATAACATATAGGCTTTAAAATTTTGATTTGAGGTGAGAAGGTGACAGAATAAGATCAAAATCCCCCACCACATAGCTTGAGGCCTTCAATGGTTTCTTGAAAAGGGCAGCAGCTTTTCATGAATTTTGGCAGCAAACAAATTTTTGACACTCATCCAATTTTTAAATTGTTTTCCCTCTCAAAAAAACAAAGAGAATGATACCAAATGATGTAGGTTCCTAAACATTTATTTTATTTTAAATTACCAAAAGTCAAGCTATTGGACTTTTAGAGAATTGCGAAACATTGCAGCTGACTCTGGCAGTAATATGATGTGGCAGTTAGATGTAATTTTCAGATGCTACAATTCATTGATTTGAAGTTGAATTTTTGACTATTGAAGGTAGTTTCTGAACAGGGTGCAGTAGTAGAATGGGTAACCTTGAAGTCACAAAAAACAGTGTTAATTTTTCTCTTCTCATACAATTGTCATATACAGTGTCAAATAAATATACTGTTATCAAATACTTGATGTCATCAAATTCTTGCCAGCAGACAATACATGAAGCAGATGAGGGTTTCCATATTTTCATGTTCCTGATGATGTGACACACTCAGCCGCATGCCACCAAGTTATGCAACTCTGTCCCAAAATAAGGTCAGATCTGGGTCTGACCTATCTTGCCCAATTTTGGACTGCAATGTTGAAAAAGGCACCTGCTTTTCCATATATACACTCTCATTGCTGTCTGTAAACTGCTGTCAGAACTTACATTGCTATGTTGTTGTTCATATTTGTTGAATACAAGAATAAACACTTGCTTCTATACATGCTCTTTCAACAATACAGAAACATATATAATCACTCTCCCTTGGACTATACCCCCAATTCAATGAACTCAATCAAAATTGGAACACAACGAACAACCTAGCTGACTACTTTGAAGACATCATTGCCATTACAGAAGAAATATACAACTTATGGACAAACATGCCACAAATACACGCCTTCTTCTGGCCTAATATCACATCCTTTTTGAAACAGCTGGCCAAGGGTCAAAGATCCACCTTAAAAAGCACTGTTATTGAGACAAGAACCCCACTGACAACAACACTTGAATTACATACCCAGAAAACAGATACAAATGGATCAAGACATATCTCTGCTCCAATGACCCAAACACATCAAAAGTTGAAACACTCGTATTACTCAGTTGCCTGACCTCAAACAAAGACAAAATGACAAACCTAATGACAGACAACAATCTTGACACTTCATGCCAGACTGCCATTACCACAGACAATAATCCAAACCATGTCACTATGCTCCAGAAGACCATCACACCAACCACATTTATATCCATTTTTGCAGTTGCCCCTGGACTCCAACAACACTGTCAATACACACACACCGCAACTGTAAATTATAACACATCCATTAATCATTTCACTGGATACATCTGTCCATTCTGCAACTCATTAGACAATTCTCATAACTGAAAATGCAATGCTGATTGTATCAGTGCTGCCAACAGATCCCAACTGTGCTACAACTTCCTTAGCCCACAACATCATTCCATTCAATGCACAGGCAGCAACCACTGTCAAAACTGGGGATGCAATCATGCAAGCATCATACCTCCATCAGCCAAGAACCCCCTAGCAACAACACTCAATATAACAATCCATCCTCATCATTCCATCAACAAACAAACAACTACCACAACATATGCCCCAACCCACCCCAATGTGGCAACTACAACAATCAATAACCTTATAACAATCACTGCCAAAATGCAATTGGCCAGCAAAATAACAATAAAAAACAACAACACCACAAGTGCATTAACTTTACCCAAGTCATACAAGAAATCAGAGATTGCTTACCAGCACCAGCATAAGCAGCATAACCTGCAGCTGCATCAGCATGACTATAGTATGCTCATACAATGCATTATTGACCATCTCTGCCGATCAACCAAACAGGGCAATATTACACACACCATATCAAGCATTGCTGCCATCATATCCAATAAAATCACACAACTGCACATACAACACCACACCAAGGACTTTTACACCTTTACCACAGCCATTTTTGCCCCATTCAATGAACCTTGGACCAGAGAAAACTTCCAAACATCTTGCCAAATTCTGCAGCCTACTTGGCAACCTCTGCCTTATAACTAAAACAAAAATTACATTTAACGTCATTCTGGGGGGGGGGGGATCTTGTACTCCAGCTTTATGCACCATACAGACTCCTACTGGAATAATTCAACCTTGTAAATTTTACCAACACAACTGATGGACCTTATTGCCTTAGGCATTTGGGATGACTCACACACAACCACTATATACACACAACATACTACAGAAGTCATCTCACGTCCCTTGCAACACCAACCTGCACATTTTATAATGAATTTTCTGAGGCAATCATCAAATACCTGTATCAATAGACTAGATTAACATATTGGGCCATGATGACAAAATCTAACCTTATCAAGACAAACAACCTTTACAATGCTTCCAATAATTACTATCAGTCCAGAAGGTTGCATGGTTGCACCACTATTCCAATAACATATATGTCCTACACATTGCACATCAAATGCCATCATCACAGCCACCACCCAAAGCCAATCCATCATTTGTCTCCTATTTTGGATGTGGTGAAGTTAGTAGGAATTATCTGTTGTTGTGGTTTTCTTTTCTTCAGAGGCAGAACAGTATTGGGTGATGCTACCCTTTTTGTTGTCAATATTGGCAAATTCATCACTGTCCAATTGGACAATTGTATTGCTGGGTGATTTTATTTTTTTCAAAAGACAAAGCTTTGTAATTCATTGAATCCAGGTTTAATTCTTGTCTGAATTCAAAGTCTGAATCCCTACCAAAAGAGCAGGTAGGGACCCCAGAATGCTCATTCACCTTGAAAAAAAAATTTTTGATCACTTCAGTTGAAATTGAAAGAGAAAAGAAGTGGTAGGGTATAGTGAACCCATGCACAGGTTCTGCATTCAATCCCAGCACTGTGAACATATTTTTGGAATTGTTCTTAATTTTCAAGTTTATCTCACTCAATTTTTAACTTTCTTCAGCCACCTAAAAAGCAAAATTACAAACAATTTTAAATTAATTCCAATCATTGCAACTCTTCTGATTTTGAATGCAGCATATTAGATGAGCATTCACATTTTATATGTTGGCTGGAAAATTTTAAAAATTGAGCAAGTTCAGCCTGAGCAACAGTTCACTGTAAGCCCTACTCTACCTGTGCTTGTGATTTTAAGGTTTGGAATTTTTCAGAAAAGGGCTCATTCTTGATGAGTCCCTTGACTCCCTATGCCTGCTTTTCTTGCAGAGGGGGGTGGGCATCCAGGGAGGGAGTGTAAGGGGTAGAAGGGATGGGAGCACAAAAAAATTGAAAAAAAAAATGTTGCAATCCCAGGGAAGTGGCAAGCAACTTCATATAGTAGACAAGTATAGAGTGCTCAGACATACCTGGACAATTTGCATAAAATTCTACAATTCTTGAATACCCTAGTGCCTAGTGCAACATTGCACAAAAGTACAACAATACATATGTACCCAGTGTCAATAGTTTTGCATTCTTAACATAATTTGTATCATGATGCTCAGGGTGTGGCTGGGCAACCCAGCTTGAGATTGTAACAAGTAACAAAACCTCCCTGCTCATATATGTGGGGATTGTAGCCCACCAGGCCACAAGTGCAACATCACCACTTGTCCCTCAAGATGAAACCAGGTTTAATCAAACCATTTTTTTTTAATTTACTGCATAATTTGTATGATGATGCCCAGTTGTGGCCAGGCACCCATCGCTGATACAGCATAATTCTGGAGAAAAGTAACACAATTTTTGGTCGAAATGGATGTTTTTATTTTGCATTCTGGCCAAAAGTTGAGAAATACTTTCTAAAGGTTTGGAACAGAGGTTCAATAGTATGGCCTGATTTTGACGGGTTCCGCCTCAGTCTTGGACACTTTCACCCAGGTTCCATTTGGCAACAACGAAAAATTCGGTCGCCTCTGGGGCTTTGGTCTTCCAATACCATTGCCTGATGACGCAGAACTAGTCGAATTCCAGCTCTCCCTCCTCTTTCCATCTTGGCTATTCACAGCATCGAAAAGCACATCATTCAACGATCCATCGAATAAGGAATCTTCGGTATCTTCTCCAAAGCTGAGGTCATCTTGAAGCTCAGTGTTGTTGTTGGGTGCAGCAGTTGCTCCAGCATTGTTACCCTCCCACTTATTCTCGGATGATGAGGAAGACCCCGTGGATTTTTGTCGCGATCCCGATTTGACGAGGTTGTCGTTTTGAGGTTCGCAGATGCCCGACTTGATCTTTTGCTGATGGCGAAAACACAATTTCATCTCAGGGATCATTTTTACATCAACAATTTTGACATGTCTGAACTCACAACCACGTCACGACAGAATTTAACTTCCTCGGCGGAAGGGCAGTTTTTCTGCTGGGATTCTCCCGCGTTGCTTCGTCCAAACTGTGATATCTGTCCGGAAGGTTTGGAATTTTGCGCCAAGGTTATTCCAATGAAAACAACCAAGACCAACGCGAAGCTTTTCGTCTGCATGTTTCTTTGGCTCAATTTCCCAAAAACTGAAGCAGACCTGATGTGCTCTTACAAAACAGACTCGACTCGATGACTGACTCCACCTTCCCTCTGAGCATCTTTTTTATGCATCATTGCAGTCGATTAACGCCAGAACAAATAGAATCGATCAGACGATTAAAGAAAAGTAATCAGATGGTCTGGAAGATCATCAGAGCCATTTGATCGATGTAGAAGTATATATGAAGGTAGATGGGGTGTATGTGTGAGGACGTATCGGAAATTGCGACCGATTATCACCATGATGATGCCATGCTGGACTGTTTCTCGCGTCCAACGCCCCCTTGACGTTCTCGCAAACATCATGAGACGATCATCGACACGAGACAGTCAACAAAATTTTGAGTCACAAATTTTCAAGAAAATAGAAACCATTCTGTTCACAGAAGTATACATAATGTAGTTCATGGAAGCCTGTGATGCATACTGTAGCTATAGTTGTCTCGCACAAACCACAGAGATGAAAATATAACAAATAAACTTGAAATCAAGGCAAATAAGTCTCCTCATTTGCCAGCAAGGCTCATTGCTGAAGTTAATTTAAATTATTTTTTATCCTCTGATCCAGTTTCAACACTAACTTCAGTAAAAGCCTTCACCAGGACAGAAAATCAAATCTGCGGCTGGCATTGCCAATCAACTGTCAGTGCTGTTGACATGTCTTTCTCTGGGTGAACCTACAGTAATTCCAGGCAAGGAAAAATAAAGGGAACAAGTGCAAAACATTTCTGGGTTAACAAACTCACAACAAGCAAAAATAAAAACACTTCCATAACAATTTAGCAGGACTTTCTTTGAAACCCTCCAATTCAAATATTTGTTGTTTGATGTTTTTTGTATTGATAATTTGTGGCTGAATATATTTGAAAAACACATTTTTATCAAGAATATATTTTATTCCTTGGCCTCCAGCAGACAACACTGGTCATTCCCTTTCCAGATGCCCCAGGTATATTTATGTTCATGCACAGTCGCATTTGCCTTTTGCAAAAGGCCTCAAATCTATAAAGGGGCTTGAGCATATTACTGTATCTTGTTGCTCACTGTCAGTCTGGACTTGCCACTGCATGTTTTTGGAATTGAAGCACAATCTGATTGTATACCCAAAAGTACCTTTCTACTTAGCTAAGAAGCCCTGGTCATAAATAATTAAATTGTCTCTTAAAAAATTAATCTGTAGAAAATTTGGAGCAGAGTAAATTTATTGGTACTGAGGATATGTCTGAAGTAGATAGAATTCTTTCTTCACAATCAGAACAGATATGGTGCAACCACAACAAAGCCAAAATATGAGGTACACAGCTACCAATATCAGTGTTCCTCCACCTTAATGGGCTGGAGGACTGGGAAATTTCAATAAAATCTTTGCAGACAGGCATATTTTCATAAAATTTCATGTGGACCAGCAGCATTCTGTACAATTTTTGATGACCCCAGCATAAAATTCTAAAATACCTGCCATACAGTCCTCAGAACAATACTTCTATTGCAAAAATTGAGTTGAGAAATTGGAAGAACTTTAAATAAGTGCAAATGTCTTTTAAAATAATAAGATGCTGGGCTTGAAGAAAGGTTTCTCAGGTGGAAAACCAGAAGCAGCATACTTTAGCAGGTGAAAATATGTCTGAATTGCTATTCAACAGATTATTTTTCATCAGATAATTTTAACTTCCATTGGCTCCAAAATTTTGGATGAAGTCTGACAAAATAACAGACTTCATTACTACTTTTAATAAAAGTAGCATGTGGAGAAATTTTCCTGCAGACTGGCAAAAACTTCTGCTGACCAGCACTGGTCCACAGACCACTGTTTTGAATCATGCAGAGGAATTCCATGATTTTTCAATCTTATCCCCTATATGGAGTATTGATCATGATGTAAGTCTTTTTTTTTTTTTTGCTTGGGGGAGCAACTGGAACTGGTTTAATTGTTTGAAAGGTCATCTATTTGACTTTACTTGCAAAATTGAAGAAAAAAGGTTTAATTTCCATCTTACTTGCATCCTTCAGTGTGTGTTTCTCTATGGATGTGAAGCTCTTTTGTCTCCTTTGCTATTAACAGCAGGCTTTTAAGGAGGGGGGCTTTTGGTTGGGTACCCACATTTTCAACCCCTCTCTCCGAGTTTTCCGAACATGCGCAGGCTCTCCAAGACGGCATGAAGTTAGACAGTTACATTATTGCATCATTTTATTTCCTTGATTGATCCAACAGCTCTCCACCGGATCAGCAGTTTAATGGAACAATAATTACCAGACAACTTATTTTGTTGTTGGAAGTTTCCATTTAAATGCTGGTTCTTGGGACCCCTACAGCATTTGGGACTGTACATTTTATACAATTTGAAAGAGAATTGAATAAGCTTTCATTTGATGCTCCTTTCATTGCCAGAGCTCAATTTGCTACTGAGCTATTTTAAGTTGAAAATTGGTTCATTTTCTCTTGGCCCACCCTGTATATGATACAGTTGATCACCCTGACAAGGGCATCCTCATCTAAAGAAAACGCCTCGTCCATAATTGTTCAAAATTTCCCTCCATTTCATATTTTCACGAGAACAAACGCCGCATGAAGAAAGGGGGGTTCAGACAAGGAGACAACGGAAAAGCATCAGGCGCGGAATCGTCCTCCAAAACAAAACAAAAAACCCTCTTTCTAGAGGGTAGACATTTCCGCCAGAGCGCCAAGGTCCAGCACGCCGGAAACGAACAAAAATAAGGAAATGCAACGAGATGGTTCAGTAGTCCATCTTGTGCTCGAGTCCTCCATCCACCAGATCACCGGTGTCATCGAGGAACAATGCAAAAGGAACTGACCTGACTACCCAGCAAGCCAAGAAAGAAAGAACGAACGAAAGAAAACCGTCCTGCCGAAACGGCGATACTGGAATAAGTCCGTCTCCACGACGGGAACACAGCGACAGCGACGACACTCATCGTCGACCGACCGAGACCTTCAATACTACAACAGTCGCACGGAAAAAGAAGAGGAGGAGGAGGAAGAGCAGCAGCAGCGAGAATGAAAAAAGAAAAAAACGAGAACAACGCGGAGAGTGAGATTACACGATAATCTTTTCTTGATTCATGAATCGTCGGAAAACCTCGCAAATTCCTCAAATAAATTACCGAGCCACCAAATCTCTCGACCTCTCCCAAAGAGCGGATGAAAAACAAGAGAAACGAGAAGCCTGTAAAAACTAACCCTTCTCCGTGCTCCCTCACCTGGACCAAAATAATCCTCGGCTTCCAAAAATTCACTCTTCTTTTATACAAGTTTTCGTCGCAATACATAAAACGCTCATCAGTCCACGTGGCGGTACACAAGTGAAGAGCATGCAGCACAAAAATAAAATAAAAAATCCAGAGACAATAACAACTCAAAACGACGGCCCTGCCCACAACTGAATCCCCGCCCCTTCATTCGATTATTGAACAGAAAAAAAAACCAGACAGAATTCTAAGAAAAGAACCGACCGACAGCAAGCATGGAATCTTACGACAACCACACTTGCAGTCCACGCCAACTCGGTTCGATGTCCGCATTACGACTCCTTCCGCTGACCTGCAGCTTCAAGAATCAGAGATCCCACAGTCACGACCAACGGTGGATGCGTGCGTGTGTGTGTGTGTCAGCTTCTCTTTTTTCTTTTTCGAGTTGCAAGGACATCGACTACGACAAAGAAAAACGAAAACCAGGAAAGGGTATGCTCTTCTTCTTCTACCTCCTCCTCCTTGTCTCTCCTCTCCCCGCTCGACTAAAAAATACCTAAAAATGTGTCGCGCATTCAGGTCCTAACATATTCTTCCCTTTCGCTCAAACGACCAAAAACAAACATTAAAGACATCATTATCAAACGGTGACAAAGAGGTCATCATCATCATCATCATTATAATTATAATCATTATCGCTTAATAGTTTTCTTCTTTCTTTTCATTTATTTGGACGCGGACGGTGGCGTCGGGCCGTTGGTGTGCAGACCCGCGCCCGTGACTTCCGCCCAACGCGACTCGAAATACGTGCGCATGTTGTGACCGGCTTTCCCGACGGGCGAGTCGTCCTCGTTGAAAATCTCACAGTTGTCGAAGATTTGACGCACGTCCACCACGAAATCCTCCCTCGACTTGTACCTGCAACGAGAGACGCGAGCGTTCGAGTGAAAAACTACCGTGAAACAAATCCATAATCACACTTCTGATGCCGTTCCCTGACGCCATCATGAAATACATAAAGTGCGACCCCCCTAGATGCGGACGTAAATGGTTCTTATTGAACCTTGTCCCCACGTCAAAACGTCCGCATGTCGGATCATGTTTTCCCCATAGACTTCAATGGGAACTGATTTAATTAGTTCTCCTTTTCTTCAAAAATGAGGAATGAATTCCCCCAATGTACGATAAATTGCACAACTAGATTTGCAAGATACAGAATATGACTGTGTGAAAGAATCTGCTCTTCAAGCATGAAAAGGATCAAAAAACAAAAACAGAACAAAGAAAATTACAAGTTTAGCTGCAGATACTGTGCACAGATGATGGAGAATACACTATTCCACCAAAAAAGAGAAGCACAAAATCTTTGATTATAAATTTGAGTAAATTTATGATGAAATGCATTTTCAATGTTTGTCAATATTCAGTACAGTTGAACCTCTCTCAGTCGAATTTCAAGGAACCAGCAAAAAAAAATTCGAGTTAAAGTAACAACCATTCTTGTTGGAGCAACAAAAAAAAATTATATTTACAGGGAATTGCCATTACAGTATTATCTTCTTGGCCTCAAATTCATTCATCATCGGGTTGAAAGGATGCTGAAATAAAAGCATGGGTTTATTTGCTCAATTAGTCTTTCTCTTCCTCTCAAAACACGTCATGTAATCTTTACTTTTTACTGCTTTTCTCTTTCCTGTTTCAATAAAATACTGTAATAGCCAAAAGCCATTCGGCTATTACAGTATTCTATTGAAAATTGCAAAATTCTATTGCAAATTTCTTCAGAAAATTCGACTTATGGAGGTTTGAGACGTAAAGCCTTCGAGTCAGAACAAATGCTGTACATTAAAGACATCCCCAAGGAAATTCTCACTCGGATTTGAAGAAAAAATCGACTTCGGGA